GCTTAGATTATGAAGTTAAACTTAATATATATGACAACCAAAGTAATAGACTGATAAGTATAGAATGTAAAGTACTCAGGGGTACCAATGGATAGTAATCTCTGTTGGAAATATCATATCAGCCTCATGGCGCCAAAGATCAGTAGTCATATAGGTATAATATCTAGATTAAGAAATTTCACTCCCTTCGTGACTTTGCTTGATATACATAGATCTCTTATTCTTCCATATATCTGCTATGGCCTTCCTGCCTGGGCACAGGCAGCCAAAATGCACCTAGACAAGATATTCCATCTTCAAAAACGGGTAATCCACTTGATGAATTTCTCTGAGTTTAATGTTCACACTGTTCCACTTTTTATCTCTACCAGTATTCTGCCTTTACCTTTAATCTACTTTAAAAATTGCTCAGTCTATCTTAATGCATGAGGTCTATAACAAAGTTGTGCCATCTAACATTTCTCCTCTTTTTAGACCCATTAGAGATGCTCATCATTATAACACACGATCTTCTACCGCTGGTAACTTCTATATAAACTACTCTCTACTAAATCACTATAAGAATTCTTTTTCCTCTATGGGCACAAAAATTTGGAACTGTATTCCTGATGTTTTGAGACAGCTCCCAAAATATAGTTTCAAGAAAAAAATAACTGAATCTTTACTTCAAATCCTTCTAAACCAGCATTCTTATCCTGATATAGATAGATTAATAACTGAAATGACATGAAACTAGATTTCGTTAAAATAAAGAGTATTTTGAGCTTTTCCTGTTTTTAATTATGTGCTTGTGGCTTCGTAATTAGTATACCTATATTTTTGTATTCACTTTTGTAATTGACATCTGTACCTTTGTAATTGTTATTTCTTTTCTAATTGTCATTAGAATAATGTTATTTTTAATATGTAATTGACACATTCTTCCTACTACCTGCCTCGATTAGCTTCGCTAAATTGGAGCTAGTCTTAATCTAGAAGTTAAATTGTGATTATAAATAAAAGATGTTGTTGGAGCCTTCACAAGAACATCAAGTAACACCAGATAATTTCATCTCAGCTTCAAATTCTTGCCAAAAAGTTTGGAAAAATAGGTTTTATTTTAGAGGAAAACAAAAGGAAATCAAAAAGAAAAGACATTCTGGCATCTTCCAAGCCTTCTGGCCCATGAAAGTTGAAGCAAAGTCTGCAAAACGTGTAATAAACATCGCTTTGCAAGCTACGTCAAAAAAAATGTGCAAGGCATCTCAGCTGAAATCGACAGGAACTGGGACAGTGTGAATACTAATGGTGGCCAAAAGGCAATTGTTGTTTGCATATTTCACACCAGTGTCAAAACAAAAGAGATCAAACGAGACTGAAATATAGCCATGTTTCTCTATAGAATAGATTAAATTTTTTTTTATTCAATGATTAACCCTGAGCTAAAACTACATTAAACTTAAACAATTTTAAAGATACCATTTGTGAAAGTGTTAAGTGTTAAAAGTAGCACCTCAATAGAAATAGTTGACTGTGACTACTTTATTGTCATATAATTCTCTTCAAATTTGTTTCAATTAGTTGACTTGGGAGCAAAAAAATTAAAAACCAGGCAACAAAAAAAGACCAGAAAATGCATCTGTAAGAGTCTAAAACTTCAAAATTTTCTGGGGGAGCATGCCCCCGGACCCCCCTAGGGTCAAAGGCCTTTGGGCCTTCGCCAAATGTACCCGCCTCTTACTCTTAAGTACATGCTTGTGCAAAAACTTATTGAAACCCCTTGAAAAATACCATGAAAAAGTACCATGAAAAAATACCATGAAAAAATACCATGGAAAAATATGATAGCTGTTAATAATTATGTATAAACAATGTGAATTGCCAGCAAAAAATGGTTCTTTAAAAACCTTGGAAATATCATTGTGTCTTGTTTAAAACAAATTACACAACAATCAAGTTTTTCAAATATACCTGTAAACAGTTCGTTATCTTTTTTGCACAAATTTACCTTTGCCCAGAATGTTACCTGGTAGCTGCATTTCATTTATATCACTAGCTACTGAAGAGCTACAAAGTCAAGAATCTTTAACCATACCTTTAATATATTCACTTCTTCTTTCAATTTTGCAACTGTGGCTTCAGCTCTGAGAGCTCTTTGCTATAAAATAACAATAAATATCAAGTCAGATATAGAGAGTTTTGAACTCAAACAGGTTCATTAGAATTCTCTTCTTTAATATTGTTAAATGATAAGTGTGATATTCTAACTAAAGTCAATAATTAATAAACCTTTTTTTATACTGCTTTTTTAATGTCTATTGGCAATTGTATTTTTTATATCTTGTGGGTTGATATAAAGACTATATCAACTTTATATAATTATCAATGTAACTTTTAGCCATCTTTAGAATAGTTGGTGACCAAGTTCACAGATTTGCATCAAATGCCATGGAAGCCTAGTTGATAAAAGGCTGTAAAAGACTTGTTTCAATATGTCACCGCTTTACTAAATATTAATAGCCTACAAGAACCTTTCTAAAAACTGTTGATTCTGACACAATCTGAATCACTAAAAGAATGTCAAAAAATAGCATACCAGCTGTGAAGCTCGTGAAGGAACAAAATCGAGATAAAAACCAACAGTATTGTTTAAACTACAAGCCTAAATGCCTCTATTGATAAGTCTCACTCATTCCACCATATTTTCTAAAGCCGCAGTTTCATCTGTCTCTCTTTTCTCAATCTTTGCAAGTTTCTTTTGCAAACTTATGATTCTGGTCGAGATAGCAAAAAACACAAATGTATTATTCCAAATTGTGATTTATTTTTGGGCAAGAAACTTTACCTTCACAACTTGGCTCTTTATATATTATATGGCACAGCACTTGGCTGACGCCATCACAAACAACAACTGTCAGCTACGCAAGTTACAACTCTCAGGCAATAACATCACAGACACAGGAGCACAGCACTTGGCTGACGCCATTACAAACAACAACTCTCAGCTATGCATGTTATTCCTCTGGGGCAATAACATCACAGAGGCAGGTGAAAGACATGAATTCAGTAATGAGCAATAGTCAGTCTAAGTGCGAGCTTTTAATTTAAGTCTCAGCAATTCCAATTGTAAACTGTAAAATAATTATCAGAACCAATTACCATTCAAGCAACTGTAAGGTATCCTGTTCAGTTCAAATTACAACCCAACACGTTATGGTGAATGAATGCAGAGAAACTCAAAGCACAAAAGTTACTTGAACAGGATCGAAATGAAGAAAAATGAACCAATGAACATGTTTATCGAGAGGAAAGGATGTCAATCTTTTTTAATAAATGATCCAATAACATTAAAGTAAAAACACAAGGAGACTTCGGACATCTCAGGAAACTTTGTCATTCTATGATCAGTTAGTTTTGATCCTAAATTCACCGCATGCTTTTTGCATGTTTTGATTGCTTGTGTCTGCTACAAAGAGTGATTTTCTGTTGAGTTTATATACGTGTAAGTCCTTTTGGAGATTATAAGCAGATAAGATGAGTAAATACGGTACTGATTGCGTGGAATAATGCTGAGTTTTTTTCATTGCTCGTTTCTATTTTTTTTTCAATCGAAGTGAACCGGTTCAAGTAGTTTCACATTTTCTGCAAAAAGTCGAAAAAAGAATTGGAAATACATTGTAAATCCAATCGTCCCACTTTAAAGACAATAGGCTCTTTTGTAGGTTAGTGACATGAGATTTATATCAACTGCGCAAATATTTTGTAGCTTTCTGCAGTTTTTGTAAATATGTTAGAGTATATTTGTACATACTTATGGCCTATTACCTGTACAATCTAAAGAACTGGCAATGAGTTCCATTGCAAAATCAGAGGGTGAAACAATTTAGATCTTTGCTTAATAGTTCTTGTTAATAGAACCATACCTGCCAAATTTATCATGATTGTAGAATAAATTTTGTAAATCAATTTATACTTTGTGTAGTGATATATTTAGCCCCAATGGTTAGACAGCTTGGAAGCTATGGGGGAGGGGTGGGGCCTTCTGGATATCAATCAAAATATAAGTGTGTTTCTCTGGGAAATTGATAAATTTTATCAATTTCCCAGAGAAACACACTTATGTCCCTTATGGAACTTCTTGCCTCCTGCACTTACTCTTAAGCAAGGTTAT